CCCAAACCCTCTCCCCCATCACTCTGCACCTCAATACAAGTCAGCAGAGATACTGATTTCTACCATACATCTTGTTCACTTTGCCATAGGTGCAAGGTAAGAAAAAAATGAGAAGCCTCCCATTCTCTGTGCCAGCATCTCAGACTGCAACTTGATTAGATGTGATAAGGCAGAGACTCTTAGCATGTAGTAGAGCATTCAACACAAAGACAAAACATTGCTGTAGGAGGGCAGATTTCCACAGGTCTATCAGAGCAAATTTCTAAGGAAATATCAGGATGAGGCAATCTTTAGAACAAAGAAGACGGAAGCTAAATTGCCTGCTGATTGTGACCATAAATGGAACAGGAACATTTTACACATTGTGCTTCAAGGGTTTGTAGATTCTGAAATGTAACAAGATTGATAAAGACACCCAGTGACAGGATGGATTTTTCAAGTCTAATAACAATTTAGTGCCGCATACAGGTAGAACATACAGTACAACCCCCCAGGCTTTTGAGAGATCTTATTCTTTGTTTCTGTACTAAAATTCCATCTTGTGGGTGATTCGGGAGCATTTCTTCAATAAAACATTACAGGACACTGTAAGCGTTTCAGATTGCCCTATAAACTATATAATAGAAAAGAGAGGATGGTCAGTTGGTTAAGGTACTCCTCTGGGACTGCGACATCTGTGCTCAATTCCCTGCTCTGCCATAGACACCCTTTGTGACCCCTGGCAAATAGTTTGGTTGCTCTGTGAATGAGTTTCCCACCTGTAAATTAGGAATAAGTAATATTTCCCTCTCTCATAGGATAAACATATTGTGACGTGTCCAGGCACTCTGGTAATGGTGGGCCTTATAAATAGCTTATACACATATTTAAAAAAAAATCACCTGAAAAACATGTACTATGGACTAACTTAGGTAAGTAGAACATACCCATGTTAGTCATAGCTTGACAAAATGTAGTCATACTAGTATAATAAAAAATGTTGTATTGAGAACTGAGTCATATTCAGAACATTAAACTGTGAGAATTTTCCTAAAGTGTTAACATTTCTACATTTCTTTTGATATAAAACTGTGGGGAGGTTTTGTATACTAACAGTAGCAGGCTATGCACCATATTGAATTTTAAAAGCAATGAAGATGTTTTAAAACCTGTTGCATACTATAATTGTCAAGCCTATTGTTTATCCCAGAATGCAATGTAAAGAAGCGCCACTCTTTTGTTAATGGACTAACACATACAAAGCAGGAGATTCAATCATAGCCCAAAGCTTATTTATTACAAAAGATTCAGGTGCAAAATCTTTAATATGAATATTCTTTCCCCAAAATATTCATTACTAAGGACTGAGGCTAAATAGATGTCAAAAAAAAAAAAAAAAAAAAGAAGAAGCTTGAAATGAAGGATTAAAAATCCCTCTGAGAGGCCTTGCTTTCATACCCTTGATTCCCCCCTTTATACATAACAAAGAAAAAATAGCACAAAGTCATTTTTTTTCTTTTGCAGGATGCTTTAGAGTTATCCAAGTACAACAAAAAAAATGTTTCTTAAAGTATGAAAACTCCTATTAAATACGTGAACCTGGAAAAAGCTATGCATTTACTTTTGAGGTGGGAGTGAATATTGAGACTGAATTCAAGATTTTGCAAGGGGGAAAGCTGGAGGGGTGGGCAACAAGGGTGCATCTATACTGCACCCTAAACTTGAAATAAGATATATAATTTGAACAACAAAAATTGCATATCTTATTTTGACTTTATTTTGAAATAGCTTATTTTGCAATTTGGCATGTCTACGTGGTGCCAAACTTTGAAATAAAGTGCTATTTCGAGCCATTCCTTATCCCTCATGCAATGAGGTTTACCGGGATGGCGAAATAGAGTGCCCATTATTTCGAAAAATATTTTGAAATAACGGGCGGCTTGTGTAGATGCAGGGCAGCTATTTTGGGATACCTCCAGTATCCCAAAATAGCCTTGCAGTGTAGACATACCCAATGAGTCATATGTAACTGGAAGATTATGTAAGTCCCTGAAATAAGGGGCTTTGAATGAAAATGTTTCTATCATTACTACAGTGTTATTTCTTTAGAGTTAATACAAATGTGACAGATTAGTGTATAGATTTACCCATACAAAACTACAAACCAGAGACACTGCAGCTTTGATGGAACACTAGGATGCAGCAGCTGCTTGGGAGAACTGCTGCTTGTTTCAGGGTCTAGGCAATCACATTGTACTGTTCCCAGTGCTAAGAGGTCCAGTGCTCTGATGAGCAAGACCTCATGTGACCCAAATTCTGGGTCCACTCCAGCCTGGGTAAGTGTCCACAAGAGAGTGCTCAGCCCGGGATGTAACAAATTAAGATAGCCCTTCCTAAAGAGAAGCTACCTGTTTTGCACTAGGGATGTAAAACCAGTTAACCTGTTACCTGGTAAGCATCATCTTCCTGGGAGATACTTACTAGGTAAGTGGTTAACTGGTGGCCTGACGTGGGTAGGGGATTCCTTCAGCCCAGCCAGGGCCAATGTGCTCTGGGCGGGGAATGCTCTGGCCAGGCTATGCATGTGGCCCTGTGGAAGAGCTACACCTGCTAAGCTAGAGTGGTCCCCCACCCCCAGGATCCCAGTTAACTGGTTTAATCTAACTGATTAACTTTTTAAACAGGATTTTGCATCCCTATTTTGAACAGCACAGCTATGTGAAAGAAGGGAAAAGATGTAGAAACAACCAATTATTTCTAGGTGTGGCGTATAGGAATGTGGCATTTTACCTTCAACTCTTACACCTAACACAAAACAGAATTAAGGAAACTATGGAAACTGCAGATAGCGAGATTCCTGGTGGAAAATGAGAGAGAAATTGCTTTCTTGTGTCATGCTCTGAAAGACCTTGTTTTTTCAAAGCACTTTTGCGGCAAACAGCAAGAACGGCAAGGACACTGCACTTGAGCACCAGCTCATACTTGTGCTGAACACAGATGGAAGACTATCCTCTGTACTGGGGAGAAATGAGTAAATAAACAGACTACCCAACAAACAAACCTCTTGTGGATCTGCTTTATGAAGGGCACAAGAACATTCATATAGTGGAGGTGTTGAGAGCCACTGAACCAAGCTATAATTCCTGTGTATGATGGGAACCACTTCAAACAGCACTCCTAGCACCTCAAGATCCAGCACCCATAATCCATTCCCCTCAGGAGCACAGGCAGCAGAAGGAAGAAGGGAGTGGAGAAGTAAGGTATTAGTTTAGAACAGGTACGTCTGAGAAGACATTAAGGGAGTGCTCAGTTAGGCAGTCCAGTCTTAATGGCTTTCCGCCAATGGACATGCAGCAGCACTCACTTACGCAAGGTTAGGTTTCTCTGTATAAGCTGCCCTGCTCCAGCACTTTGTACCTTGTGCTGACATGAGAAATGCTGCTTCTGCACTAGGGAAGGTGACATCCTAGGAGCACACACTATTCACAAGGGAGCACACCAATTTTTGTTGCACTCCCATTGTCGGGGGAAGAAGGGATGTCCTTTTCTCCCAAACAGCACTGCAGAGCTCTTCTCTGTTTTGCAGTAGCACTGAAGCATGGGTGTGTGTAGTGGACAAAGCCAGATATGATGGGGTGTTTCACATTCTTTATGGAAATATGCTTATGAATACAAATATGCATGACTTGAAAATGTTTTATGCAAAATATTCCATGTAAGACAGCATCTGAAAAGTTGTAATCTACTGAAAGTGCATAGTCTAGGAAGTGTATGCATGTACCATTGCTGCATGTGAAATTAAGCATATTGACTAGAGATTTATTATCAATGTGTTCATGTTGGGAAAAGCCTATTGCCAGCCCACCAGGAATAACAATGAAGAAGCCAGACACAGAGCTAATAGCCCATTAGCAAGAGACAACTGACTGGGAGAGAACTGTCTTCCTGCAGTCCTGCTACACTGTTCCTGACTCCTGGGCTCGGGCATGCTACAAAGACATGTGACCATCAGTGTTCCCGCTAAGATTTTCCATCCATGAGCGGAGTGAGTTTTGTCATGTGCACCAACAATGAGGTTGCATGAGCTTGTTTGGATGTGTGCCACTGTGGCACCCACCAGTGGTGCTGCGCCCTAGGAGACTCTCCCAGGTAGCACTCCCCCACCTCTTGGGGAGAAGGTGAGATGTGTCCCCCCCCGCCCCAGCCTCTGGCTGCTCCTCGCGGGGGTGGCTGGGAATCCAAACCTGGGGGAGAGGGAAGCTGTTGCCAGCACCCAGGATTTGCAGGGAGGGAGGTACTGAGGTGCTAGGGGTGGTGCAGTGACATGTGGGAATGGGGAGGGAGGGCAGAGCATTGGGGGGGCAGAGGGCTCTGAGGGGCAAAAGAGAGGTGTGGGAGGGGGGAAGAGATGCAGGGGGCTCCAGCCCCATGAGCGGTCGCACCACAGCCCGGCTCCAGCTTTGGGCAGCCACCACGCAGCCTGCCCAGGGAACAGTTAGGAAGCCAGGACAGGCCCGTATGCAGGAATTTCTGGGGGGGAGGGGGCTTTGTAAATGTGGGCCACCATTTTTTTTAAATATAAAGGAGTTCAAAATAGTCATGCAATCAGTGTGCATAAGAGAAGTTAACGAAAAATCTGAGGGGGGGGGCGAGAATCAGTGAGTGGGAGAGCCTCAGCCCCCTGAGCAGCTTCCTCCCCCCCGCCAGGTGGCCCCACCACAGCACCTCAGCTGGCCCCAGTCCAGAGCAGCCACCTACCAGGCCACTCTCCTTCCAGTAGGAAGGTGTGTGCTTCTTTGTGGCTCTGCAAAGTAGGTGGGTGGACAGAGAATTTATGTATGTGCGGTCGTGCAGGCGTGCACCTTAGCACAACTCAGCCCCCTGAGCAGCTTCCTCCCCCCCGCCAGGTGGCCCCACCACAGCACCTCAGCTGGCCCCAGTCCAGAGCAGCCACCTACCAGGCCACTCTCCTTCCAGTAGGAAGGTGTGTGCTTCTTTGTGGCTCTGCAAAGTAGGTGGGTGGACAGAGAATTTATGTATGTGCGGTCGTGCAGGCGTGCACCTTAGCACAAACTACAGTGAGCAAGTCACCTGATGCTAGAATCCATCTTGAATTTTGTACTTTTACACAAGGGTGTGGGGGAATCAAACAAAATCTTTTCACCCCAGGGGAAATTTTATACAAGGAATGGGAAGTAAACAATGCTTGTCTTCAGCTGACTTTACAGGCAGTCTCCCCACTCCAAGAAGATACATGAAAACACCTGGAAACAAAAGAACTGTAACAACCGGGTGGAGCAGAACTGCAGGATACAGATCACAAAGGGTATCTGTAGTCTGGGAAGGACTTTACCTGAAATAAGAACTAGGGTGAGAAATTATTATTTGTAACAAGCTTTCTTACTATATTAAGCTTAGCTTTTGCCTTTTGTTTAGTAACCTACATTGTTCTATCAGCTGTCTCTCATGACTATTTACATCCTACCTTCTAACACTTAACAAAAATCACGTTTGTTTATTAATAAACACAGTGTAAATAATTGTTACCTGGGAGGGGAGACAAGCAGCTGTGCATCTCTTTCTTTATGAAAGATGATATGAACTTCCTCTCTATAAAACTTTACACAGAACAACACAGATTTGTCTGGGGTTCAGGTCCAACTGCAGCAGTGCACTTGGGTGCTGTGGCAAGTCCCTTTCAGTGGCTGTATTAATCTGCTATGAGGGGGCGGGGGGCCTTGCTCTGCAGGGCAGGGTGTTACAGTGCTGCAAAGGACAGGTAGGCGGGTTCAGTGGTATTTCCAGCACATCAAGTGACAGTCACAAGGGGATCCCTGTGACCAAACCCATCACACCAGAGTCATATAAGGCAGGTCTGAGAACTAAACAAATGCATTGGCTCACAGACACACATATATTGGGGGGAGAAATAATGAGGAGCTGCAACCCACACCTTGTAGTACACAAAGGGGAATTAGATGCAAATAGAAGAAAGAATCATCAGACCTGGCAGCTTTCTCAGCACATCTGGGTTGAGCCTACCACCTAATACACTTGAGCCAAACAATCTTTTCAAGAATTCCCCCCAAAAGATGATTCCGCCCCTTATTTAAAGAGACACTTTCAATTTAAAAACTGTAGATTGCAGAATATGTACGTTACTCTTTCATATGCTACTAAGATCTTAGATTCTTAAGTGGAAGGGTTTTTAAAAAATCTACTTAAAGAGCATATAAAATGAAAAGTAATACAATTCTTTCATTTAGCTTCAATAATGAAAATATATTTAGTCAGTTTCACTTTTAAGTTCTTCATACTGAATTGTCAAGGTTTTAAAAGCTAAAAAGGAATATGTACAAGGAATGCTTACGTGTTTCATAAGAACAGTTTTAAATGGAGTAAAAATGTGGAAATATTTCAGCAGAATTAAGTTTGCTAAAAGCTAATAAGGTCACAATATCTAGAATTACTGTAATTTTTAAGGCAAAACTATCCCTTATTAAAGTTCCCAGAATTAAAAGCTGTTGACTAGCCTTTGAGTCAGAAATGCTGAACGAAATCAATAGCTATGATGATATAATTGACAAGAGTTGAGTCAAAGTTTTCAAGGATTGTTTTCCCATTCTGATCAAACAGTCATTTTCACCAAATAAAACGTACATGACTTTTTTTATTTTATTTTTTAATTTTTATTTATTTGCTGTCCTGTAGCACAGCATCATATCTTGACTTTCCTCCTTCATGAAACAGACCAAAAAACCAGAGGCTCTTCAGGCCAAAAGTGCCCATCAGTTTTGATGAGCACAATAGAACAAAGTGCATTTAATCTGGGAAGTGCCAGTTCTGTGATAGCTTTCTCTCACCTTGGGACAAGTGGGGATTGAGCTCTGTGTGTAGGAAGAGGGCAAGGTCCAAATGACAGCCATTCTTCTGCTTGCTTTATGGCACTCCCCCAGAGAATTGTTTAGAGATAACACACCCAAATCCTAATGCAAAGTATCTTTGAAACTAACTCAATGAAGGATATTAACTGAGCAGCTGGGAGAATCTGATAAAAAAATCTGTAAAATGCAGCTTTTGGGATTGAGGTATTTGGCAGGAAAAGCTCTTCATTCATAGGCATGCCCTTGTCTCCTTTTCACAAATATACAAGGGATACTGGTGCGAGATATATTTACAGTTTCTCTATTGACCCAGCAGCATCAAGCAAGATGAGCTACACATATATCAAGCAGATATGCAGAATTAGTACATCTGCAATGGGACAAAGAAATAAAACAGCTTTTTATCTTCCCCCCTTTAACTGAACACAGGAGACACGGTAACAAGTTTACCCTATTGCAAACTCCAAAGACCTTGCAGAGTACCACACACAGTAAGAATCATGCTTCATCTCTTATTAATATTGGACTCCACACTGCAGTTCTGATTTCCAAAATATAGTCCTCCATTCGGTAAGTGCAACCTACATTCTTGAGTCCCCAAGGTAAATCTTTGTGTTTAGCCGTATCAAAATGTATGTTAAGTGAGAACGATTTACAATACGGTCCAGATTCCTCTGTAGAACTAACCTGTCTTTATCATTATTTCTTGCTTCACCATTTTGTGGGCCATCTGTAAATGTTAGCAGCATTGATTTTATATTTATTTATTTCCACGTTACTCATCAAAATAATAAATAGTGCTAGTTAACCAGTTTTAAAATCCATCCAATATGGGCTGCACCGATTTTTGTATAATGCTTAAAAAAATCTCAGGCTATTTCGTGGTGCTACATGAGTATATGTGTAGGATGTCAACACAAATGTCTTTGTCAAACAAACTTGTAATAGGAAAGAACACTATTAAGTTTATTTGACAAGAACTCGTGGGTTCTTAACTGGTAGTTCTCGGCACCTTCATACACTTCTTGTTTTTCTCTTTCCATCGCTCTCTAAATGTGTGCCGTTTTATCAGTCCTATAAGAATGTGTGCTATACCTACAAGAGGTCCGTATATGACATCTCAGGTTCAGACAACTGCACTGAGTCTCACTATAGTCTTTGGGACACAACAATGGCATAAGAGTCTACACCGGTAATATTTTGGAAGACTGAGGCCAGAGATCCTGCTTTCATGTAAATTTCAATATTGAAAAGAATAAGAAACACAGACGGATAAGTACAAAATCATTTCTAAAGTTGTATTTCCAAGGTTTTCTAGGCAACTCCAGCAAGCATCTAAAGCCTCGTACCAAAGGTTGCTTCAGATAATTATTTAGAAAGACTCTTTATAAGATACAGACAAAATGATTTTCCATTGTAGCTTGAACTCACCAGAACTGGGTACGATTAAGAGATGAATGGAGTATGTCAGGCCAGTATTGTCTCATGTCTGGCAAGAGATCCTAGAAATGAAAAATATGTCACTAAAACTATGAAATTGAAAAGCAATTTCATACTCAATATACATAAATGGATACATTTTCAACACATTGCCCATGTCCTTGGAGATTCTTGGATGAAGTAAGTGAAAAGAATTAGTCTAGGTAAGGGGTTTTGTGTGCAACTTATCTCTGGGAAAGGATATTCCATAGAATCATAGAACACTAGAACTGGAAAGGGACCTCAGAGCTCATCAACTCCAGTCCCCTACCCTCACGGCAGGACCAAGCACTGTCTAAATCAGTAGTCTCCAACCTTTTTACACCCAAGATCACTTTTAAATGTCAGGGTAAGCCGAGATCTACCTCAACCCTTCCCCAAGACCTCACCCCCTTCCTTGAGATCCCGCACTCTCCATTCCCCTCCTCTCCATCATTTGATGCCCTCAGCCCTTACTCATTCTCATTAGGTTGAGACAGGAGGTGCGGGCTCTGAGGTGGGAATGAGGGATTTGAGTGTGGGAAGTAGTGAGAGGTGCAAGCTATGGGAGGGAATTTGGGTCAGGAAGAGGTGAAGAAGGGGATGCTGGCTCAGGGATGGGCCCCAGGCTGGAGAGTGTTGGAGTCAGGTAGAGAGTTGGGGTGCTGGAGCAAGCTATTTTGGGTCAGGGGCCACTGACCCACAAAAAAATCTGTTGGGGAGTGGGATGCCAAAAAACCAACTCTTCCAACCTGTTCCCCTCCTCCCCCTCCCCCCCCAAGCCTCACTGATGTGGCCCCAAGTAAAACATCTCACTCCCCTGGCACTCCAGCCCCATGAGGTGGGAGGGTAGGTAAGACTGAGGTTCAAGGCCTCAGTCCAGATGAACTCATATGGGGTTCCAGGTTAGTAGATTTTGTGGGCCCCTCTACACTCTGCGGTGGGGCCAAAAATGAGGGATCCAGTGTGAGGGACAGTGAGTGGGAGAGGGATGGGGGTGCAGAATCTGGGTAGGAAGTAGGGTACAGGAGCAAGCTGGGGTAGGTGTCTGGCCAGGAGGGAGGGAGCAAGAGCTGGTGGGTTTCTGGCCAGGAGGCAGGCGCAGGATGCTGGAAGGGGTCTGACCAAGGAGCAGGAGCAGGGTT